CAGACCCCAAATATTCCATCTCTGTACCAAGGAAAAGACAGGTCACCTAAGGTCACCCAGCCACCTGGCTAGATCACTGCCACATGCACAAGATAGAAGACTGGGTCTTCCTGTGGGTGGATTATAACCCAGTCAAGGAGGAACAGCCCGCAACACACATGCACACTTCAAAGTCATGTAGATATGAGGCTAACCATTCATGATCACATGTATGGTATCACCGAATGTCAGAATTGGAATGGACTCAACTGATTTCTAATCTGACTTTCTATTTTAAAGATGATGGACATGAAGCCAGGAAGGGCCAGGGACTTGCATGAAATTTCACATCTTGTTGGGGACAGAACCAGGTCTCTGGAGTCTCTGTGCAGTAGTCTGTCTACTGCATCGCAATGCATAGAAAAGTACAAGTCAAAGACCAAGTGCTGGGGGCACTCGGAAAGGAAGTAGGACAAGGACGACTGGGAGGGATCAAGAAGGCTTCATGGAGGAGGTGAGTCCTGGACAGATTCAGATTGCTCTACAATTCTGTAAGTAGCTTGTAAGTGTTGGTGCATATGTTTTCTAATTTATCAGTTATAAGAAATCTGTGAAACAGTATTATCTCTTTTCAACAATAGGAAATTGAGGCTCTAAGAAGCTAAATAGCATATCCAATACTCCACACACTGTATGTAACAGAGTCATGCCTAGGTCAGTAGGATCTGGAGTCCATTCTTTCTCCATGCATTATTGAAAGCAAGTCTTTGGCTGATACGCTTAAATAAAGGAGTATTAAGCTGGGAATTTAGTTCTTCATTTGAGACTTCCCTCACCCAGAGTGGCCAAGAGCCTCAGACACTGGGAAGGCATACTAATTTTCTGTTACTGCTATAATAAGTCAACACAACTTTAGTGGCTTAAAACATCAGAAATTTATTATCATCCAGTTCTGGAAGTCATAAGTCTGAAATAGGTCTCTCTGGGCTAAAATCAAAATGCCATTCTAGAAGCTCTAGGGGAGAATCTCAGATCTAGAGGTTGTCCACATTCCTAGGCTAGGGTCTCCTTCAGCATCTACACAACTTGCAATGGCCAAATCTTTCTCACATCACATCACTCTGACACTGACTCTTCTGCCTGTTTGCATTGAAGTACCCTTGTGATTGCACTGGACCCCCTTCAGTGTAATCAGCTCAGAGTCAGTCCTTTTCAAGGAGTTGAAATCTGGACTCCTCCTAACTGCCTTCACCCTCCTCCCTGAGAAGTTTCTCCATTGTTCTGCACAACTATTTGGTCTCCTTCTCCCTCAGCTCAGCCAAAGACACAGAAATTCATTCTGGGTGAGCAAGGTCTTCTGAGGCATCCTGCTGCAGAAAACTTGGAGATCTCAACCAAGCAGGCCTCCTCCCCTAATCTCTCACCCATCCCTTTCCTGCATCAGCCTCAGCCTCTCCTCTCAAAGGGCTCCTAATGAAGATGCCTTCCTCCAAGCTCCCTAGAAGGTCCCTGCCCACCTTCCTTACCTGGTTAATTCCTACTGTCCAGTAAAGCATGACACAGACATCTCCTGCTCTGGAAGCTTTCTAGAGCCTTCCAGAGCCTTCCAGAGCCTTCCATTCAAGGCTAATGTAGCAGCCTTCTTCTGGGATGTGGGGGCTTACCTCTGTCCATCTTTCCCATGAAACTGTGAGCCCCTTGAAAGCAAAGCCACAAATAACTGAAAGAATGAATGAATCAATGAATAAACTCAATGACAGAGAATTCCTTGCTTTCTAGGACTCCCAAGGAGTTGCTTTGTCTCTTAGACCAATGTCCCTCAACATTTTTGGCACCAGGGACCAGATTCTTGGAAGACAATTTTTCCGTGGATGGGGATGGGTTAGGTGGGGGTGGTTCAGGCGATAATGCGAATAATGGGGGAGGCAGCAGATGAAGTTTCACTAGCCCATCACTCACCTCCTGCTATGTGGCCTGATTCCTAGTGGCCACAGACAAGGGACCCCTGTCTTAGACAGAATTCCACAGAAAAGACAAAGGAGATGAAGAGGGAAAGGATAAATGGGAGGAGGAGGTGAGAAAAGAAGAGAAGAGAAAGGAAGAGGAGAGTCCCCCATTCTACACCTGATCATCCAGTTCCCAGATTCCCCAAATGACCTATCTCTTCAGATACTCCAATAGGTCTTCCAAATCCTCTCCTGGTCCCCCGTACCCCACTCCCACTGCAGCCTAGAAGATTATGTCCTCACAGGAATATCAGCACCACTCCCCTGGCTGGCCTCTGTCCCCTCCCCACTCCAGCATCTGTCCCTCACCAGGACATTGAGGGGGCCAGGCTGGTGCTACATCAATTCTCCATGTACCAGTCCTAAAGGCCAAAACATCACCTGGCCTCCCCCAGTTCACCTTTTGAAAACTTTTCAGGAACAAGCATCCAAAAACTATGTAAATCTTTGAAGGCTTTTCTGATTTTAGCCTTTTTTAGGAAATGACCTAAACCTATCTCTTCAAGCTTTACAGTCCCTAAAAATTGGTCAACTTTAGCAAACAAGCACAAGTCACCATGTTGTGATTGAAGGGCTTCTTGTGCAATGAATGTTTTCCCATTTTCCATTAAGTGAAATCCTTCTCTGCCTCCCATTGTCTCCCATTCACCTTCTTCTTTCTTTAATTAATGCATTTACTCCATCAATAATCGTTTCTCTTTCACTTACTCAGTCTTACAGTCCCCACCACCTAAGAAACTACAACCTAAGATAGAAATAAGATCTTGTACACAAATAACTGGAATTCCTAAATAACAATGCATGCTAAGTCACTTCAATCATGTCCAACCCTTTGCGACCCCATGAACTACAGCGCGCCAGGCTTCCCTGTCCTTCACCATCTCCCAGAGTTTGCTCAAACTTATGTCCTTTGAGTCAGTAATGCCATCCAACCAACTTATCCCTTGTTATCCCCTTCTCCTGCCTTCAATCTTTCCCAGCATCAGGGTCTTTTCCAATGAGTCAGCTCTTTGCCTCAGGTGACCAAAGTATTGGAGCTTCAGCTTCAGCCTGCCAGGTTCTTCTGTCCAAGGGATTCTCCAGGCAAGAATACTGAAGTGGGTTGTCATTTCCTTCTCCAGGGGATCTTCCCAACCCAGGAATCAAACCTGAGCGTCTTATGTCTCCTGCGTTGGCAGGTGGGTTCTTTACCACTTGCGTCACCTGAGAAGCCAATAACAATGGTAAATGTCATATAAATAGCACAACAAGATACTGTGAGAGTTCAGAAAGACACAAAAGCGTTTCTAGTTTAACCAGGAAAGGTTCCTTGGAAGACAGAAGACTAGAGTGGAGCCTTGACAAATGCTTAGGATTTCAAAAGGCCCAGGAAAGGAAGGCACATAAGATGGAAGTGACAACCCAAACAGAGACTTACAAGTAGAGAAAACTGGGTGTGCTTGCTTTGAAACTTTTCCTTTCATCCCTCTAATTTTTATTAGCCTGAGTTCTAAGAAAAGTTTTTCCAGAAGGCAAGGTGACAAATCAGCCTTGCTTGGTCCATCCTGTTTTCTTGGTCACTATGAAAACTCTGAGTAGCTAACTCCACTCTTAAAAATGTCTCTCTTAAATCAAAAAAAAAAAAGAAAGAAATGTCATAAATCAAGGTTGAGATGATGAAAATTATCTGCCTTCTCCCTTCTTTTTCTTCCCCTCCACCCTACTTTACAACCGAAGAGTGACAAATGACTCCAATTTCCCTCCAGATCTCCTTTCAAGAAATCACTCTCTGCAGGAGGCTGTAGGTTGTCTGTCTGTCTGGGCCCTATCTTCCTTGTGTCCAAAGGAGTGTGACTTTGAAGAAGGATCTAGTGGAAATGACTGAAAGGGGCCATAAATCCCTTGACCCAGACAGACTTCAGACTTTAGGCATAAAATACATGGCTGAAGATGAGATGAGCAAGGCGGATCTTATCTCACCACCTCCTGAACCAGTTTGGGCAGACAAGGGACCCAGTCCTAGTTCTGAGGCTGAGATAACGTTTTATGAACATTCTTTTGCAGCTGCCTCTAATGAGAGAGATCTGACGGGAGCCCCTCCCTGCTGAGGTCTGGTGAGGACCCAGAGGCCAAAAGAGAGGCTGATTAACAGGCATCCCAAGCAATGACTCAAACCACGGGCAATTTCAGACGAAGCTCGTTATGGTGACTCCACAATTAAGACCTCAGCCCACGTGGCCAGTCGGTCTTACGGGAGGCTGGACCAAGCACTGTATAAAAGTCCCTACCAGACTGGGCTCCTCCATCCACATACTTTATTGAGGCTTGTAGACGATCAGGTAAGTGGGGACAACTGTGTCCTCTCTCTCCCTTTCTGTTCTGTCTCTGGGAGACTACTATTCTCTTCCTCCACTGGACTGTACTTTCTACTGATTTTTTGAAGTGGTGTGCCACTTCTTAGGGCTTCCCAGCTGGCTCAGTAAAGAATCTGCCTGCCAATGCAGGAGACGCAGGAATCATGGGTTCAGTCCCTGGGTAGGGAAGGTCCACTGGAGGATGAAATGGCAACCTACTCAAGTATTCTTTGCCTGGAGAATCTTATGGACAGAGGAGCCTGACAGGCTACAGTCCATAGGGGTCACAAAGAGTCAGACACAACTGAGCATGCACACACACACACACACACCATTTCTTGGGCTTCTTAAACCATTCTGTGTATTCTACCGTCTCTTACAACTAAATTTCAAAAGGATTAGTCAAATAGAATAGAAAGAAAAGGTCTATAGGCGAACTGGAGTTTGGGGGTTGGGGGCTATAGATATTGACAAAACCTATGAGAATATCCTCAACTAGGAGATGTGCTGAAGTATGGATAGAAAGAGAAAGGAATAAAAATCTGCAGAGAAATGAATTCTTAGGGTTAATAATCATTTATTCCCCATTCACCTCTCTCAAACCTTCATTATCAGCCTTTTACAGTTAATGCATATATTTTCAAAGCTTATGTTTGTTTCAGGTCCTACCAATCACCCTAGGATGTCCTTCAATGAGCAGCAGTGCAAACAGCCATGTGTGCCTCCTCCGTGTCTTCAAAAGACCCAAGAGCAGTGCCAGGCAAAGGCTGAGGAGGTGTGCCTCCCCCCATGCCAGGACCCCTGCCAAGAGAAGTGCCCAACGAAAATTCAAGAGGTGTGTGTTCCTCAGTGTCAGGCATTAAGCCAAGACAACTGCCCACAACAAAGCCAAGACCCATGTCTCCCTCTATGTCAAGACCAGTGTCCATCTCAGTGCACGGAGCCATGCCAGGAGTTATCTCAGACAAAATGTGTGGAGGTTTGCCCACAGAAAATCCAGGAGAAGTGCTTACCCCCTGGCAAGGGGAAGTAGTTGCTCATATGCTATGTGGGGGTCCAGAAGATGATCCCAACTTCAGCCCACACCATGGTGACCTTTTCTTATGGGTACCTCTGTGTGCACCCTGCTCTCGCCTCCTGGCTTCCTCAGTATTCCACGACTTGGTCTGTGTCTCTGAAGACAGTTCTGTCTGTATTTCCTCAACCTCTGTGAATACGTATTATTGTCAACAATCTATTAGAAGGTCTTAGCTGTCGGAATGATGTGGTTATCAAGGAAGACCACAGAAGCCCAGTTCAGCTCCCTTGGGGCAAAAGTTCACCCTACCCTGGGTGTGTAACAGCGAAGGATGCCTCCATTCATCTTTCAGAATGTCAACCTCTTACTTGAGTCTCAAAACAAACTGAATTTTGATGGACTTTGCGCTGATCACCACCACCACCATAAGTGAGGAGAAGAAGTTGGTGGTGTTGCAAAACTAAAAAAACGGGTTAATTTTATATCTGTATCCCAAAACAATGACAGAAAGTGATTAGATGTTGGAACGTTGGCTGTGTTTGAAAAAATGAAACTAAATGAAATGTAAGTGGCTGATTCCAAATAGCCAATAAGGAAAGATGTGATTAGATGTTTGGGGTCCTGGTGATCGATCTCTGTGCTCCATTGCTGACTGGCTGTAGGCCCTTCATTTCTGCCATGTATCCTCTTTAGGGATGGATTTGTGACTGTGTGGTGCAGGCTGCTATCCTCCAGCTCTTTGCCTTCTTCTCCCTGGTAAAGGTAAAATGCAGAATAAAGCTGATCCTAAAACATGCCTGACTCGATGTGCGCTCATTCCTGCTGTTCTTGTGATGATAATTTTCTCCTTTTTTGACAAATCTCACATAGGAATAAAAAACAGCCCTCCAAGATGTACAGAATAGCCATGCTGAAAGAGGCCTCCTTAAGGGGTGCCCGGACCATCCCACCCTCATCCACAACATATCGTAGGCCCACCTGTGCCCATATTTCATACCTGAGAAAATCCAGGTGGGGTTGGGACTTCAACACTTCAGGTCCAGGGTTCTTTCCACAACAGCGTCTTTCCTCTCTGACCCTTGCTTTCCAGAGGAAAGGACTAATATGGGAGAAGGGGCCTTCAGTGGAAGAGCCATGATACCCACAACCACAGCATCCCTCTCTGAAGGAAAGCACAGATGTGCTTCTAAGATGAACACAAACGTGAGGGCCAAAATTGTGTGCCCTACCATCTGGCCAGATTTCAGAAAAGGCAGGCAGCCTTGTTCACCTCTCTGCACCCTGTTACTGCCCCCATTTGTGGAGGAAACACAAGGCTGTGAGCTCTGGGTTTGCACAAAAGGGCTGAGGAGACTCCAGACTTATAGGGGAGAATCAATCGTGGCTTCTCAGCTGTGCCTGGAGGTCTGACCTGGGCCCTGAGACTTGAGTCAAGGGCCAGGCTCCTGAGGGCTAAAGGGACTCCTCCTTCATCCTCAGGGACCCCCTCCTCCTCAGCCTGTATGGCTACGCCCCCATGGACAGCCTGGACAGCCCCTCCGTGTAGGCTGTGTGAAAACTGAGGCCTCAACTGTTTGGCTGAACTGGGGCCTTCCAGCACTGGGATCAGCGAAGGTCTCAACCTCAGAGATTTTTCTAAGCTGAGAAAGAACTGGAGGATGACTCGAGGGAGATTTCAAGTGGCAACATGGAGCCCTCAGACACTCACTGAGTCTACAGGCAGCAAATGCCAGGCCCTGCAATCTATGCACATTCTCTACGGGAATCCTGACATCAGGTGGAGTGTATTGCCCCTGTGTTAAGGAACCAGTCTGGCATCACAAAGCTAGCAAGTGGTGGTGAAGTCAGCATTCTGAGTTTTCCTTGACTTCAGAGCAGACTCTTACTTGCATGAGGAAAGTGTGCATGACACCCAGACAAGATTTCCAGAAGCTGTGTTATTCTCAGTCATTCATTCATCCACCTATCATTTGCTCACTGATCACCTACCAAGTGCTGAAGATCCAAGCAGGCAGCATCCCCACATAGGGCTAGAGAGCTGTCTTTCCACAAGGCACACGTGCCAAGGGGCACTTTACAAAACCTCCCACACATATCAAGTCCCTGAACATCCCCAGAGGTCTGAATCAGTTCTCTTGCCTCTTTGCCTGCTTGGACTAAGTTTTCTCTTCCATTTTCCAACTGTGGAATAAGCCAGCTGCTCCACAGTGCCCAGATAGCTCAGCAGGTAAAGAATCCACGTGCAGTGAAGGAGACACAGGTTCAAGCCCTGTGTCGGGAAGATCCCCTGGAGCAGACAATGGCAACCCACTTCAGTACTCTTGCCTGGGAAATCCAATGGACAGAGGAGCTTGACAGGCTAAAGTCCATGCAGTCACAAAGAGTCAGACATGATTGAGAGGCGAACACTTTCCACAACACTTTCCCCAGGGCCCCAGCTTGCAAGGAGAGCCTTGCCAGTAGTGGAGCTTCTGACTGGGCTGAGGCGGCTCGGGGACATTCCTCCAACCTGGCTCAAGCCCAGGGAATGTCTTTGATCTCTGGCAATAAAAGTATGCACAGATTTGAGTCCAAGATCAGATGCTCAGGTGCTGAACGGAAGCATGAGGCAGATGAACAGGGAGAGTCCAGCCACATCAGAGAGAGGGCAACCCGCTGATTACAGGGGCGGCCTCAGCAGATTGGGGAGACAAACCTGCAGATCGCAGATAGGGGAGCAGACGTCAGGGAACCAGCAGGCCCTCATCAAACTCTGTCATGGGAACCGCCGCACGGGGCTCCTGCCCATAGAACTCCGTCCAGCCCTGCCTGCACTGCTGCGATGAGAGCTGAGGCCCAAGTGACACAGACCTGGGCCATGGAGACCGCCAGGACCAAGCCCCACAGAAACCACACTTCCCCGGCTGTTTGCATCAGAGGTGGAGCCTTTCAGAAAGGGGTGGGGGGAGGGGATTACCAGGGAGACTCCCAGATGCTACAAGTCCTAGTTGACAATTGTTAAAGAAAACCAAACATGAATGCCATAGGTTTTTTTGTTTTTAAGTCCTTACTGAATGTGTTACAATACTGCTTCTTGGCTGCATTTTTTTGGCCATGAGACATGCGGGATCTTATCTCTCCTACCACGGATTGAACCCACACCCCCTTCATTGGAAGGTGAAGTCCAAACCACTAGACAGCCCCAGAAGTCCCTGAGTGCCACAGTTTTAATATATCCCTCCACCAAACACCCACAGCCACATAACCAGAACTAAAACGATCCTGATTTCCCCAAAGTGTTGACTTCCGACCATTAGCAAACTTACGCTTTCCTCCTGTCAGCATGATCTCATAGTTTCCCAGGCAATCAGCTACCGAAGAGTACCTTTGGGTAGCACTGTTACCCAAAGAGAGTAATTCCATGTAGCACTGTTAGCAATGCAGGCTTCTGGTGGCCAATCATGAGAAACAGCAATGTACTTCCTCATTTTAGAAACTGAGCTGTAACCCTCATTTTCTCAGAGGGTTACATTTCCAGCTTGAAGCCTTCCAGTTCTACAAAATGTTCTGTACAATTAATAAACTTTTACATATTCCCCAACTTGATTTGGTTTTAATTTTTCACTCAGTTAATTCAGTATGTGGCAGGTATGGACCCATGGGCTCCGGGTACCAAAAGAAGATGCGAAGTGACAGGAGCACGAAGGAGGGTGGTGGGGTCACCCACTCCTAGGGTAACTGTTTGTGGAGACCCACCCTGTGCAGGAGGGAGGGGGACGCATGATGGAGCAGCAGCCTGAAGACCAGTATTGAAAGCTATTTAGTCTAGAGAAGACACTGCCCAAAGGAGCAGGATAGTTGTGCTCAAGTATTTTAAGTGACTTGGTGAGGAAGGAAATGGATTTCTATGAGGTTACAAAGGGTGGAGTTGGAACCAATGGACGGAAATTACAAATCTGGGTTCAGTCTAAGAGCTTTCGTATAATGAGACCTGCTTGCTGATAAGAGGAGGTGCCTTTGGACTTGCCATGTTTCCACAAACGGGAGGTGTGCAACCAGGGCGTGATAACCGGTGTGAGAGCCGTGCTTCCTCCCGCCCGTCGAGTGCTGAGGCTCACCTCACTCATCTAACTTTCCTGGGCAGAGTGGGGATCAGGGGGCAGAGGAGCCTATGGGGACAGGGAGACTCAGAAGACCTGACCCCAAGGTCAGGAGACAGAGGAAATTACTCTGGCCTCTAATATATCCCCCAGAGGCCCTTTGGGGACCCACACTTCTGGGGAACAGCAGAGTGTGGACCACAGCTAGAGGCAAAAGGAAAGTGGGTAAGTGAGAGGAAGTGGCTCCCCCAAATTTAGGACTTTTTAAAATATGGATTGGGGCCCAAGCAGTTCAGCCCTGAGTGGCACCTCACAGTAATTCCTCACTGCCTCCAAATCCAGTCTCCCCAGCCGGGGTTTAGCACATCTCTCTTCCCTTTATTCCTTACTACTTGGCTTTCTGGAGCTCCTTTCTCTCCCAGGCCAGCATGGTGCATCTGTTCCAGGCAGATGTGCCCCTAACAACCATCGAAGCCTCCTTTCCACCTGTACCTGCCTCTCTCCAACCCAGGATTCCCCCACCCTTTGTGTCTGCAAACCTATGTCTTTCAAACTCACCTTCTCCAGGAAGCCTTCCATGATGTCAAGTCTACTTCTTAAATGTACAGGGAGACTTCTGCAACACTTCAGCCTGGACGCCATGCACCCACACTGGTCCCTAGGGGTCTGTGGCCCCTTGCAGCTGCCTTGCATGTGACTGGCCTCTATCTCCTGTCAGTATGAGAGCCCCAGATGATGGCCCATGAGCCTAACTGTGTTCTTTGTCTCTCTTCATTGGACCAACCACACAGAGGTTGGTCCAGTGACAGTCAGATGACTGTCAGAGTCACCCGACCACCATGTCCTTTGAGGCAGAGACGAAGGAGGTTTCTTTTATTGTTAGGGTGACCAAAATCATCCTGGCTGTCCTGGAACTGAGGAGGTTCCCAAGATGCA